CAGGCGCTGAGCAGAGCGAACCCAACGCAGCGCAGGTGTGACGCCTCTGCGCACTCGCCACGCTTCGGGGTGACACGTGGGGACATTCCCACCCCCAGACCGGAGATCCCCCCAGAGCCAGGACTTGGACGTCTCCTAAATGTCATTCCTCGTATGGCCAGGTGGTGGGGCAATGCTACAGAAGGCCCTGAGCGCGGCCAGCAGTGAACGGTGTTTTTGTGTGAGTGTGAATGTGAGTGGTTAAGCTGCCTTGGAGGAAGACAGACCTGTCCCTAAGTGTCATTTCCTGGCCCTGCACCGCTGATAAGGGCAAAAGCTGCCCATATGTTCTCACAAAGTATCTTAAACTGCTTCCAGTCATCAATAGATTTATTACGTGGTTGTTAGTACTGCCCCAAACAGGGCCAAGCTTGTCTCTGTCTCCACTGCGATCCCAGCAGGGCACAGAAAAGGCTACAGAGAATGTCTAGTAAACTAACAAATGAAGACGTTGATATTAAGGAGACAGTGATGCTTCAAGTAGTAGAACTCCCCCCTTCTTTGCAAGAGACCTGGGATCAATCCCCGGCCAGTACACCTCACAGTGGACCCCGCCTCTCCCTCTGTGGTGTGTTACCATGATGTTTGTATGAGTTTTAGCAGACCAGCCAAAGTAAGACAGACGAGGAAGCTCAACCCACAAAACCCCACTTTTCTTGGCACAAGTCTCGATTGTACGGAGATAGCTTTTTGCTCCACCATGTACAAGGTTGCCACACACTGGAAGCTGATTCAAAAAGAAGTGTAAATACCACAGTTGGAACTCTAAGCAACACGGAAACCCTCTTACCTTGGTTCACTTTCTTTTAAACCTCAAGTTTCTGCTCAGCTGTCCTCTCCTCCAGGCAGCCCTCCCTGATATACTTCTGGCTTCCGGCCCCAGCCTTGCCCACTGGTGCTTTTCTCACTCGCCTGTGACCCATGTGGGCCTGGGCCAGGGTATCTCTGTTACCACAGTGCCCCCAGCCTCACTGCACGAAGATCCCACAATACAATAAATTCCTAGTGAGTTGAGGAAATGTCTAAGTTGTGTCATGCTGCAGCAAGTGCTGCAAACGGAGGTGCATCGGGGCTACAGAGATGGTGGTGGAAAAAGTGAGAAGGAGAAGAGGAGGCGGGACTTCAGAGGGCAAGCTGATTTCTGACAGATGGAGAAGGGGAAACGATTTGTTCCAGGAAGCAGGGACTCCGAACCCACAAGGTCACAGAGAAAGCCACAGGGACACTGGGTGTTCATCAGACGAGGCCTGGGTTCTGAGGCTTGGCACTGCCAGGCCAACCAGGTTGTGAAGGCTTGGACATGAGGCCAAAGAGTGTGGCCCTTCTGTTCCAGTCAGCGCAGCGCCAGGGTGGGGGCTCGTGGGGGCTGGTGAGCAGGCCACCGACTAGGAGAAAATGGAAAAGCCAAGTTCCTTGGGATCCGTTACAACTCACGAGCACCCCAGCTACGACGGAGGAGAACTGTGCTCCATGGAGTTGTCAACGGCTGGGAGGTTCTCCTAAGAGGCCCTGGTGGCACAGTGAATAAGCACTCAACCGCTACTGAAAAGTCCAAGGTTGGAACCCATAGGATCATTGGCAGTTAACCACTGCACCACCAGGGCTCTTCCGGTAGAGCTCAGAGCCTCCGAAACCCCCATGAGGGCAAGTCTTCTCTGGTCTGTAGGTTGAATGTCAGTAGAAAGCAGCTGGAAGGCAATGGGCTTGGTCGGGGGTTTTTTAGGTAGTTTTTTTGGAAATGTCATTGTGATTTTAGTGAAAGTTTACAAAGAGATTGGTTTTCGTTCATCCCTGCATACATAGATTCCTCTCCCTCCTCCTTCCCCAATTCACTTTGTGATTTTTGTCCGGTCCCACATTGTTAACCATCATAATGTCTAATCGTCCGTGCCTCTCAGGCTGTCCTTCCTTCACCTAGTCCAGCACAGTGCTTGATATCCACCCATTATTTTCCTGTTCTCGACACCCCCTCACCCCATTCTCCATTCTGTTGTTACAACAGTGGTCTTAAGCAGTATTTCAGCAACCTTGCTTGCTGAAAGCGAGGAGTACTTCAAATGCTTGCTGCAGAAGATCAAAGACTTCAGTAGGGACTGCATCTCAACATCAAGAAGACAAAAATCCTCGCCACTGGATTGACAGGCAACATCAAGAAGACAGAGGGAGAAAAGACTGAAACTGTCAATGATTTCTTCTTGGATCCACAATCAACATCCTTGGCAGTCAGGAGCCCAGGAGATGTGTTGCCTTGAGTAAGTCTGCCGTTAGGGACCTCTTCAAAGTACTGAGAAACAATGATGTTATTGTATTATTTTTACGTGTAAAGTCAAATCAGATCTGACTGGTACAGGAGGAGATTGCTCCCTCCTTCTCCAGCAGAGCATCTGGTGGATTTGAACCATGTACCTCTGGGATTGGAAACAATGATGTTAGTTTGAAGCCTAAGCTATGCCTGATTGAGGCCGTGGTCAATTCAGTCACTTTCTGTGTCTCTGAAGGCTGGACAATGAATGAGAATGACAGAAGAATAATTGATGCCTTTGAATTGTGTTGTTGGAGAAGTGTATTGAATATCCCATGTACTGGCAACAGAACATACAAATATGTCTTGGAGAAAATGCAGCCAGAGTGCTCCTCCTTGGATGCAAGAATGACCTAGCTTTGTCTCAAATACTTTGGGCATGTTGTTAGGAGAGGTTATTGCTTGGAAAGGGACTTCATGCTTGGGAAGGCAGAGGGTCAGTAAAAGAAGAGAAGACCCTCAATGAGATGAATTGACAGTAACGAGTGCAGCAGTGGGCTCAACTGTGTCAGAGATGATGAAGATGGCCCAGGATAGGGCAGGATTCAGATCTGTTGTTCATAGAGTCACTATGAGTCATACTCAACCCCACAGCACTTAACAACATGCAGTATTTGTCCTTCTGTGACTGAGCTATTTCGCTCAGTGTAATGTTTTCCAGACTCATCCATGTGGTATAGTGTTTCATAAGTTCACTGTTTGTCAGTGCTGTGTAATACTCCATTGTGTAGACATACCACAGTATCTTTAACCATGTGTTTGTTGATGGCCGCCTGGACTACTTCAATCTCTTTCCCATTGTGAATAATACTGCGGTAAGAATGGGTGTGCATGTGGGTCTTTCGTCTGGTTTTTGGGGTGACCTCTCAAAACTAGTGCACCAGGCTTTTCTTCCAAGGCACCTCTAAGTAGCTTTGAACGTTGATTAACAAGTGAGTTCAGGAGCTCTTCCAGCTAGAAGGGGACTCAGATTATCTTCGAACCATGGCAGGATTGGGTGGAGATTTTGAGACACATTATCTTTTCATCTCTCTCCCCCTTTCTTGTTTTCTTTCTGTGTAGACATCACCCCACGATTTCCAAAACTTCATCACCCCAAACAGAGATCCCATACCCATTTAAGCATTCCCTGTTCTCCTGTAACCTTTAATCCACTTCCTATCTCTACGCTCCAGCCTATTCTAGATCTTTCATAAAGCAGACTTGGTGGTGCATCTGTTATCCGAGAGGTCAGGAATCTGAACCCACCAATCGCTCTTAGGGATAAAAGATCTGCTCCCATAAAGATTATCACTTAGGAGATCAGAGTGGACAGCTCTTCTCTGTTCAGGAGTTGGAATCAACAGCCCCCAGCAACACATCTTTCCTGGGTGGGTGTAGGAAGCCATCCTGAGTAGAGCTTAGCTTTGCTGCAGATAACACTTCTGACATGCAGCCCTACCCAGTCCATCTCTGGTTACGCCTACCCCTTTACCTGTAAATCAACACCTTGGCGCATGCCCCTCCCTCTCTATTGTAAACTGATAGCCTAGGGCTGGGTTCTCTGGCCATCCGGGCTACTCTGCTGCCTATTTATTGCAGAATTCATCGAATAAACTTTGAGGCTTGATCAGAGAACTTTGACTTGCCTCATCTCTCGTGTCCCTGTCCCTCTCCCCTTCTCAATCCGCACAGATCCCGCTCTAGAGCACGTGTGAACCCGCAGGTCGGTTTCAGGTGGGGGACCATGAGAAATTAATGAATGCCTCTTGGTCTGTCCTTGATTCTGTTTTTTCCACACTAAGATTCTTATTCTTAAATTTATATGGTACAACATTGCTGTGTCAAGAGTCCAGTAAAACTCGCTAAAGGCTAATCCTCTCTCTCTCTCTCTTTTTTTTTTCTTCCTTCAGTATTTCAAGGTTTAATTGTTTAATTGGTTTAATTGTTTTAAAATCCTCCTAGGATAGGCCAAGATGTCAACCTGAGTCGGTATGCGTTGGGGTCAACTCAATGGCAACTCACAATAACAAAAACAACAAATTTACCCTTTTAACAGCTTGAAAGTTGTGTGCTCAGAGGCCTTCACAATATCCCCAGTGTTCTGCACCCATCACCACCTTCTTGTTCCAGATCATTTTAATCACCCCCAAAAGAAGACTGTGCCTTTTAGGCTGCTGTGCGAATCTGTGTTTGAATCTCACAGACACCCGTTTAACGGCATCTGAAATATGATGACTGGAAAAAATAAAATACCAGGAGGGGGGGAAAAAGCACTGCTTGGTTTTCAACCCACGTTTGCCCAGATAACAAAATACAACAATTACAATGACAACAGGACAATAACAGTAGCACTTATTGAGGACTTGCCCCTGTGCGGAGAAGGAGCTCTGGTGGCACAGTGGGTTAGAAGTTGGGCTGCTAACCCAAAGGTCGACAGTTCAAGCCCCACCCACTGTTCAATGGACAATCTCTTCCCATGAAGATTTACAGCCTCAGAAACACAAGAGAGGTGCCACCATGTGTCAGAATTCACTCTTTGAGACAGGGGATGGGGGATTTTCTTGTTTTTTAGTTTCTTGTGCTAAATTACTGTTTAGGGAGATTCAGAGACCTCTCAAAACAACCCTACGGGTTAAGTCCTAGATTATTATCACCACCGTTCTACAAAAATGAAAACCGAGCTGCAGAGAAGGCGAGCCTAGGCCGATGGGCAGATAAGCCTGCTGCAGCTCCTCGCTGTGTGGGACCAGGGCCAGGTGGCTGCCCTCTCTGAACTTGGCTGAGAACAGCAGTGCCTGCTGGGCTGCTGAGGGAGAGCCGCCACCTGACATTGGGGTCCCTGAGCCTCATCTGCCCTTATCTTTAGAGGAGGGGCACACAGGGGCAGGTGCCTGGTCGGAACCCACAGAATGGGCAGGCATGTGGGAGTGCTTCCCTGCTCCCCGGGATGGCCTCCTGAGGGCGGGCCAATGCACTTTCTTGCTTTTGCCTGTTCTCTCACACTCACAGGCCCTGCCTCCAGCCCTCTCTGAGTGCAGTGATGACAATTAGAAACAAGGAGGGGTAGAAAGCAGAAAATTAGCCCAGTGGCAGCCATGCCACCAGGCTTTGTCCCCAACATACCTGGAGTGTCAGTGCCTGAGATGGTTAAGTGCCCACTTGGCTGGGCCATGATTCTCTGGTTTGGCAGTGATGTAATGACATCATCACCTCCATGGTGAGATCTGCGGTGAGCAACCAATCAGTTGACAGGGAATGCATTCCTTGGGGGTGTGGCATGCAGTATGTATGTGTATATGTATATGTATATGTATATGTATATGTATATGTATATGTATATGTATATGTATATATACACACACATACATACATTCTGGAAAAGCTCTCTAGCCCTTTGCTCCCTCCAGATCCTGCATCTGGCTCTCAGGATCTGACCTCCAGTCTTTGGGACTTGAGCCAGTGGTCTGTTGTATTTCTGACTGATCTTGAGATTCATCAGCCTCTGCAGCCTGTAAGCAAGCAGCCTGCTGTTGACCCCCAATCTTGGGGTCAACAACCCAAGAGGAACAAGAGTCTGGAGAAGCCTCCAACCTGACTTCTGACTTGGACTTTCTCAGCCTGTATAATACCTTGATAACTCTAAAATATAACTATAGATAACTATATAGATAAATATATATAACTATATATATAATATATATATCTATATATAACTATATATATAACGATATATATATAACGATATATATATACACACACACACATACATAGGATGTATAGGATGTGTCCTGTCTCTATACCTTTTCAACCTATATGCAGATCATCCAGGACGCTGGGCTGTATGAAGAGAAGTGTGGTATCAGGATTAGTGGAAGATTCATCAACAATCTGCATTATGCAGATGACACAACCCTGTTTGCTGAAACTGAGGAGGACCTAAAGTGCTTGCTGCAGAAGGGCAAGGACTGCAGCTTTCAATATGGATTGAGGCTCAATATCAAGAAGACAAAGATTCTCACCACTGGGCCAATTGGCAGCATCAGGATGGATGGTGAAGCGATTGAGATTGTTAACAGCTTTATTAAATTGAATTAAAAGACATATTGTGGTGGGAAAGGCTGCTCTTAGGGACCTCTCCAAAGTACTGAAGAGCAACAATGTCAGTCTAGAGACTAAGGTGTGCCTGATACAGGCCATGGTCTTTGCAATCACTTGCTATGCATCAGAGAGCTGTACAATGGCTAGGGATGATAGAAGGAGAATCGATGCCTTTGAGCTGTGGTGCTGGAGGAGAGTATTGAATATACCATGGATTGGTAAGAGAACAAACAACTTCGTCCTGGAGAGGGTTAAACCAGGCTGCTCCTTGGAGGCAAGAATTCTGAGGCTTCGTCTGACATACTTTGGACATGTTGCAAGGAGGGACATCATGGAGAGGGACAACATGCTTAGGAGGGTGGAGGGACAGCGCAGGAGAGAAAGACCCTCAATGAGATGGACTGACTCAATGACTGGGGTAATTGGGATGGGTGTGTCGGAGACAATAAGACTGGCACAGGATAGAGCAGGGTTTAGGGCTGTTGTACATAGGGTCGCTATGAGTCGCAGGTGACTCAATGGCACATAATAACAACAACAACACAACATTTATACAAAACCACAAGTAAGTGCATCTTGTGAGCCATTGTCTTGAGACAAATCTCTATTTATACACACAATTGCAGCAACAGGATTAATCACATCAGAGACTGAGAAAGTAGCACAGGATCAGACAGGGTTTCATTCTGCTAGATATAGGGTTCCCATGAGTCACAACTGACTTGACAGAGGCGAGCGCTAGTGGCCTAGTGGCAAGATGCTGCACTGCAATGCCAGAGGTGTGCGGTTTGAATCCACCAAAGCTCTGTTGGAGAAAGAGGGACAATCTCCTCCTGTACCAGTCAGATTCAATTTGATGGCGCACACACACACACACACACACACACACACACACACACACACATAATTTTTTTTAAAAAAATACACCTGACTTGACAGCACGTAACGTCAATATATACAAATACATGAGCTTTATCGGCTTTGCCTCTCTAGAGAACATCGCCTGAGACAGTGCCCAAGGAATACTGATTGAATGGAGGAATGCAAGTTTTGTGAGGGCGCATGGGTGGAGCCAGTTCAGTAAGGGGGACCCTAGGGACAGATTCAAGACTGTCTGTGTTGTGGGCGGTCCTTGGTGTTATATGTGAGTTGAGTCCCCTAAAAAGATGTATTGGTGTCCTAATGTCTGACATCAATGACCGTGACCTTGTTTGGAAATAGGGTCTGAGGCGATGTCACCAGGAGAAATTCTTCTGGGATAAGGTTGTACAAGAGGTCACACTGCAGGGGGATGGATCCTAATCCAGGATGAGTTATAAACCAGGAGTAGAGACAAAAAAGGGGTGACAGGAACGAGGGAGACAGCTACAGGAAGACAGAGGAGGAGAGCAGAGCGCTGCATCAGCCAAGCGGCCCCAAAGATGGCAGGGAAGCTAGAAGAGACAGGGCCAGGTCTTCCCCTGGAGCTCTCAGAGGGAGCAGGGCCCTGTGGTCACTATGGTATTGACAGCCAGTCTCTAGAACTAAGAGGAGCTACATTTGACTTGTCTTTGTGATATTTTGATCCCGGTAAATTAATAAGCTGGTCAACGCCACACCCTGGGTCATCGGTCCTCAGGGCTCTCACCTCCCTCTGCTGTCCGGTTTTCACGAGCCTGCAGGGTTTGAGGCTCTTTTCCTATCCAGCACTCTTCCCCACGATGCTTCGGTCTCCCCTGCCTTCCCTTGGGGTGCCAGGTCTGGTGACCCCCAAACCAGGGTGTCCAAGTCTGAAGGCGAGACCGGGAGCAGGGATGTGAGGCAAGGATACACTTTTAAATATCCTTGGAGCAGCAAGGGGGTGATTCTCGGGGCAGCCATCTCTGTCCGATGGGGATTCAGGGTGGGCAGCTGGGAACCTCTGAATGGATCGAAATATGAGCCATTGGAGCTGAAAGCCTGATCCCAGCAGAGCTGAGCACATAAAAAGCTACTGAGATCGCTCCCTTTCTAAATATTTAGACAGTGAGATGGATGGTGATGTGGATCAGGGCCAGCAGCTGCCCAGGCCACTAAGTTCTTTGGAGAGAATGATTCTGCGCTCCAGGATCAACTTCCCCCTCATTTGCCTTCCAGCGCCAGAGGCAACAGCCCTGGAAGAGGAGAAACAAATAGCAGCTAACAGCCCCCAGGATTTGAGAGGGCCAGGGCACCAGGGTTCAGCTCTTTGCTGACCCACCCACAACTAGCAGCAGCTGAGCCCCTGGTTTTTCTGGGTTCCTGGGAGGGGTGCAGGCAGTTAATCCAGTTAGTCTGCTAACTGAAAGATTCAGAGTGTGAGTCCTCTGAAAGTACTGCGGAGGAAAGGCCTGGCAACGGACTTCAGGGTGGGGAATCCCTGCCACTGAAAATCCCCCGGAGTACGGTTGGTTCTATGGGGACACACATGAGGGACACGAGTTAGAAACAACTGGAAGGCAGACGATGGTGGGGTAGTGGCAGTGGCTCTAGGGAGACCGGGCAGGAGATGAAGGGGCCACCGAGGTGTTAACAGAGAGAGCAGGCCCTGGAGGGTTCCACTTTGGATGGCATGTCCCTGGTGCCCCCAGATCCTTGGGTGGGAGGTGAAGGGGTGGCCTGACCGCCACTCCAGGCTGCTGGTGTGGTCCAGCTCCCCTCCTTGCCCCCCAGAGAAGGGAGGCACCTTGAGTCCTTCTTCTGCGAGTTCAGTGGGGCAAGGGGTGTCTGCAAGTTTCTGCGGGGATCTGGGGGAGCCAGGCAGCACAGCCAGAGCCGGAGGCGCTGGAAAACGGCCTTGCGGAAGAGGATGAAGACCCAGGGGTCCAGGATGGGGTTGAAGGCTGTGAAGCGGAAGGCGAGCAGGTCCCCCATCTCGCTGCTGTCCGGGGCGATGGCCTGGGTGAAGCCGCGAACCTGTAGGCGGGGTGGGGCGTCAGGAGGACAGTCCCTGCCTCCCCCCACGAACCCCCACCCCAGTGTCCCTCGGCTTGGGGTGTGACAGAAGGGGGAGGAAAGAAGATAAGGCGAATGAATACCATCCGGGCGCCCTCACCGCAGCCTGGAAGGGGCACCAGCTGTGCTTGTGGGTGACCCAGCCTTTCCACAGCTGGGGTGGTGCGTGGGCCACAGGCTTGTGACGGCTGCCAGCTCGAAACTGCTTAGTGTAATGGGCTCTGACCCCCTGGGGACGGAGAGACCTGTCCCCTAGGCTGTCTTCCCCAGGCTGTGCAGGGCAGTGGACTGCCACCTCTCCCCGAGGGGCACCCGGTGGGTGGCTAACAGCAGCGAGGAGTGCTTGACCGCTGTTGCCACCAGGGCTCCTTCCTGCCATTTCTAAACGCCCTGAAATTTCCTGCAGATTTGCAGTCTCAAGTCACGTGGTGTGAAGACCCGCTGGGGTAGCCCCAGCCCTTGGCATCTTCCACAAGAGAAACTGAGGCCCAGAATATAGGAGAGATGCTTGAGTGTCCCTCACACTAGGTGCGGACCAGGGACCAGGCTAATTAAAGCAGGAGGGCAGGGGTTGGAGTCCCTCTAGTAAAAACAGGAGTGAGGCAGGGAGTGAAGCCACAGAGACGAGGGCGGGGCTAAGATGGGGAAGCGGGGAGGGGGGGGGGAGGAGTGATCAGGTTCCGGAACAGGAAACTGGGGACCCCAGCTGTGTGTGACAGGGGACAAAGAGGTCTCATCTCTCAGCTGCAGGACTAATGCCTGCCCTTTTCCTGGAAAAACAAACAAACAAACAAACAAAAACAAAAAAACAAACAACACTTGTGGAATGAGTAGACAAGGTGGCCATGAGGAAGCGTTTGTAAGCAAGAAGCCCTGGTGGCGCAGTGGTTTGGCCCTGGACTTCAAACCCCAAAGGGTATGTGTCCAAGAGAGAAAGGTCTGACCCGATCAAGGGGACAGTTCTACTCTGTCACAAGCATTAGCTGTCGAAGTCAGTCAGCGTCCACTCCAGGGCACACAGCAAGCAGAGGGCTGCCCCAGACCTGGCCAGGTGCTTCTTCTCAAAAGGCGGATTTTATTTACAGGAGGAATCCCTGGGAGGCACAAACCCTTAAACCTGGTGAGCTGCTTCCAAAATGTTAAAGCTTTAAAAAGTGGTTCTACCCAGAGGTGTGCAGTTCAAATCCACCAGATGCTCTGCTGGAGAAGGAGGGACAATCTCCTCCTGTACCAGTCAGATCCGATTTGATGGTACACACACAAAAATAATAAACTACAACATTTATTTTAAAAAGTGGTTCTATCTGCAGCTAGGGGGCTCTCTCTGGTGGCTTCTTATTGTTATAGTCAAGTGTATCAAGTCGAGTAGCGAGTCTATCTATGAACAATAAGGCTGAACCTTGCCCTAACCTGTGTCAACCTCACAATCTCTGACACACTCAAGCCCATTGCTGCAGTCACTGTGTCAAGACACGTGGTTGAGAGTCCTTCCCTCCTTCGCCATAGCTTAGTGGTAAGGAATTGCCCGGTCAACCCAATGTGTTGGTATCCACCAGCTTCTCTGCAGGAAAGAAAGACGGGCAACCTCCTCCCACGGAATTGACTGCCTTTGAAAGCCCTCTAGAGGGTCAGCTATGAATCGAAGAGGCTCAACAATCTCTGCACATATGCGCATGTGTACACATGGGTGCGCGCCTTGGCGCTCACGCGTGCGCACACGCACACAGGTCCCAGGACTCCGAATCAAGTCCATTGCAACCACGGACAACCAACACTGTGGAAGGGGTGAGACTGATTGTGTGGGAGAGAGCCGAGGGCGTGAGGGGTAACCAGAATGAGGAGAAAGTAAATAAGAATCTTCCCCACTGCATTAGCAAGTGTTTCCCCTTCTGAGTCTCAGTTTTCCCATCTGTCAAATGGGTGCGACCGATGGGTGCACCCCTCTGCCCTCTTCCTCCCGCCCCAGCTCCAGAGGATACTCACCGTGAGTGGCAGGGAGCACACGGCCATGACGCCCGTGATAAGGGCCAGCAGGATCAGGTAGTCCACCTCGTCCTCGCTCTTGCGGGGCCCGGGCACCAGGGAGCCCAGGTGTCGCCTCTGCTGGCGGTGCATGCGGCAGAGACTGAGGGTAACGGAGCCGTTGCAGATGAAGATGGCAGCCACCAGCAAGGCCATGAGGCTGGCGTAGGCCAGGGAAAAGGCGCAGCCTCCGGGCTCGGTGGAGCGCATGCGGATGAAGCACCAGCTGCCTGGGCAATACTGCTGGTGGCGGCCCAGGCCCAGCAGGGGCAGCGCGCAAAAGAGCGCGCAGAAGGCGTAGATGGTGGGCAGCGCCAGGCGGGCGCAGCGCGGCCCGTCCAGCTGCGCGTAGAGGTAGGGGTGGCTGAGCGCCAGGCAGCGCTCCACGGCCATGGCGCACAGGATGAGCGTGGAAGCCAGGCCGAAGAAAGTCATGGCGAAGGCGAAGGCGTTGCAGAGTGCGGGGCCGCCCCGGGCCAGGCCCAGCAGCGAGCTGTTGCGCCCGTAGGCCACGAACACCGCGGGGCTCAGGAAGCACGTGCCCAGGAGGTCGGTGCCCGCCAGCCCGGTGACCAGCACCGCAAAGGCCGACGGCCGGGCCCGCCGCCGCGCCCCCAGGATGCACAGGGCCAGTCCGTTGCCCACCACGCCCGCCAGGAACATCAGGGTGCTCGTGGCCGGGCCCACGGAGCCCCGCACGTAGGTGAGGTTCTGGCAGGAGTCCGCCATCCCGGGGAGGGGCGGGGGGCTGCGTCTGCGGCCTGGACGGCGCGGATGGGGTCGATGAGTGGGGAGCCAGGGGCTGGGTGTGATGGGGGCTCCCTAGCCTGGCCACGCCTGGGCCGCTCAGATGGTCCCCGCGGGCTTTCTCCGCAGCGTGCACATGATAGCTGAGGCTCTGTCTCCGGTCTGCCTGCTCCTCTTGTCTGTCTGTCTTTCTCTCCTTTTTTCTCTCCCTCCGTCTGTCTCTCTTTGCCACTGCCCCCTCTCCAGGAGTCCCTAGTTCTTGCCTACCTCCGTCCCTAGCTCCTGTCACTGACTCTGTTCCTTCTCCTGTCCACTCTCTCTTTCCCCTTCCCCCCAGTCACCTATCCTCTCTGGGGCAACATAGCTTCCCTCCCAGCCCCTGCGCACCGCACCTCTGGTCTCTTTGCCTCCGGCTCTCCTTCCATCCTGCTCTGTCAGTGTCTCTCCCTCTCTCCCTGGCTCCCTCCCCATCTCACCCGCGCCCCAGCCTTTTCATTTCCTCTCTCGGCCCCGCCCTCACTCCCTCCCCGCCAGCTCTGTCCCCTCCCCTGCCTGGTTCCCCCCCTCACCCCAACGCCCCCTCAGCTCCCTGCCTTCATCTCTGTGGCCTCCCCTCTCTGCTACCTCTCTTGGGCTGGGTCGTCATCTTGTCCAAGCCACCTGCCACCCACCCACGCCCAGGTCCGTGCCTTCTGGGGTGGGTGACCAGCCATGCCCACTTGGAATCTGGAGCTCAGCAGAGTGAGTGCGCCCAGGATAGGACCCAGCTGACCCGCTCTGGAGCAAAGGGCCAGCCAGGCTTGGCTGTCTGGGGTGGCCTCCTGGGTCTATTCTGGGCTTAGCCCTCAGGGGATCAGGACATTACCCAGGGGTTGACAAATAACTAGGAAATTCCTCCCTGATTCACTTTTTTCCAAACCCCACTAAGAATTTTTTTTTTATTTTTCCCCTCGATGTGATGCAGTTCATTCCTTTCAGGCAGCTGGAAGAGGAGGCAGCTGAAGCCGAGGGGAGAAAGCTGGACCCTGGAGCCCTGGGCTGGATTCACACGCTCAGCCAGGCACAGTCCAGACCCCAGAGAACGAGCAGAGACTGGGACAAAGAGCAGGTCTGTTGGAGGGGGCCTTTCAGGACTGGAGACACCCAGAACCCATCATCCCCCTCTCTTCTCCTCCCCCCACTCTCTCTCCCAGGCCCCAAGCGACCTTAACTTCCAGGAATACTATTTCAGCCACTGCTCCCTGACAGGCTGTCTCTTCCCCCAAAAAAACAACACAACAAAGCATTGACATCAAGTGAATGTCAACTCACAATAACCCCATGTGTTAATGCAGTGGCCCCATGTGGTAGTGCAGAGCTGTGCTCTCTCTAGGGCTTCCTTGACTGGAACCCTCTGCATTCAGATTGCCAGGCCTTTCCTCCGCAGCACCTCCAGCCAGGTTTGAACCTCCAAACTCTAGGTTACTAGTCCAGTACAAGCGATTTCCACCCCAAGGAACTTGGGGATCACCCTTTACTCTCCCAGGAAGGCAGTTTAGGTATAGAGACCAGACCCCGAGTCTGGTGTCTGCTTGACTTGGGGGGTTTTCCCGCCTCCGTTACCTGCTTGCTAAATGATGGTGTTGGCTGAGAGCCAGAACTGATGGACCTCAGTTTCCTAATCTGTACAATGGAGTGACTTTGGCTTCAGGAGGACCGCTTTGCTACAGAGAGCGAGCATTGCTGGGACCAGGAGAGGATGCTCTGGACATCAAGGACGGCACTCACGGACTGCTGCCACTGTCCCCTCCCTCCCGGTGACCACACTCTCCTCCACCCTGGCCCCTGGCTCCCTATCACCTACATCCAGCAGACCTCTCCGGCTTCCGGCTGGGTGAGTGTCCCCGCTCTGCTGCTCCAGGGGCCTCCAGGGAGCCACAGAGCAACCACACTATCCCCGGGCCTCATGCAGACCAGGGGAAACTCAGGAAGTTCTATCATATTAATGAAGGATGACGCCACCTGGCAGGCTATGTCCTGTCTCAGCGTCAGGGGAATTGGGGGGTTGGCATAGGGGGCTCCGGTTCCTGAAGCGTACCTCCTCTCCTACTTTTTTCCTGTCCCATCAGGGCACAAGGGGAATTCATTCTGAGGATCCACTGTGACCCCCTCCATACCCAGCAGGCCCTGGGACAAACCTCATGCAGCCTCCAGACTTCAGTTTCCCTGCCACCTGTGTCTTGAAGCCCTTACATCTGTGATATCCACTCTGATCACCCACCTCAGGGGCAGGTGAGGTGCAGTGGCTGGAATTTACTTCAGAGCTAAGGGTCCCTGAGGTCCATAACAACGCTGGACTCCATCTACCTTGTGGACACCCCAGCCTCTCCACCTAGCTGTGACCCCAGCCAGGACCTTGGCTCAGGGCCACAGCAGGGACCATGAAAGATTGTGACTGCAAAGGGTTCCGTGCCATTGAGATGCCTCAGGGTGAGGGGTTACCCCCACTGGGCTGTGCGAGGGTGGCTTCCGGGGTGGGGGTGCTGTGCTAAGGAACTCTGCCAGGAGGGTGACTCAGCAGCTGCCCTCCCTCCGCCCGCTGTAGGAACGGGGGTTTCCCAGAGGAACTCTGGGGCAGAGGGGAGAAGAAACAGAGATGCTGGAAATGGCTCAGGGGTGCACAGCACTCAGGAGGGCAAGAGGGGAGACAGGAGCATGAGCGAGAGTGCCAGCAGACTTCGGGTGACCAAAACTTGTGTGTGAGTCTGTGTGTGATGGTTTTTGTCAGCATGACGTGTCTGTGTTGCAGGTTTTTGGTGTGCATAGTGGGCACAAAAATAGATCCTAATTCCACTTGCTTTAGGAGAGCTCCAGTGGCCTAGTGGTAAGAAGCTGCGTTGGAATCCCAAAGACACTCAGTTCGAATGGACCAGATGCTTCTGGGGAGAAAGATGGACACCGTCTTCTTGTGTGATTGACAGCCTTCTGAAAACCTGCTGGAGGGTCAGCTAAGGGTCGTTGCAACTCGACAGCAAATAACAACAGCCACCACTCGGTTTAATACCACAAGGACATCAGTTTAAAGACAAAGGTACACTCGAAGGGGAGCTCTGGTGGCCTAGTGGCAAGGAGCTGCAACTACAATCCCAGAGGCACACGGTTCGAATCCACCAGATGCTCTGCCGGGAAAAGGAGGAATAATCTCCTCCTGTACCAGTCAGATCTGATTTGACGGTACACTCACACAAAAATAAAAAAAAAAAGGTACACTCGATTCAAGCCATGGCCTTTTCAATTACTTGCTATGCAGCTGAGAGTTGGACAATATTGAACAAAGACAACAGAAGACAAATCAAAACATCTGAGTTGTGGAGAAAAGCAGTAAATACCTCCTGGACTGACAGGAGAACAAACAAACATGTGTTGGAGAGAGTGCAGCCAAGATGCCCCTTAGAGGGAAAGGTGAGGAAACCTCACCTCACACACTTAGGCCTCTCGCTGGGAAGGACCAGTGCTTGGAAAAGGACATCCTGCTCAAAAAAGCAGAGGGTCAGTGAAGGAGGGAAGACCCTCAACGAGATGAGTGACCCAGACAGTGGGCTCAAAGGTGGCAGAGGGGAGCTCTGGTGGCCTAGTGGCAAGAAACTACACTGCAATCCCAGAGGTATGTGGGTTGAATCCACCAGATGCTCACCTTAGTCTCCAGAGAGACACCGTTGCTCTTCAGTACTTTGGAGAGGTCCCTAACAGCAGATTTTCCCATGGCAATACGTCTTTTCATTTCCTGGCCACGGGTATCAAGAGTATTATTTACTATCAAATAAAAAAAAAGTAAAGAAACAATAGTGGCTCTGGTGGCCTAGTGTAGAAGGAGGAACGCTGCCACTCCAAACACCACACCTCTGGCAGTTCAAATTCACCAGCAGGTTCTTGGGAAAGAAATGAACAATTTCCTCCTCAGAAGCCCAGTGGTGGGTCAGCTATGAGTCAGTTTGATTTCAGTGGCAGTGAGAATGAGATACATTTACAGAAATGGGAGTGTTTACATGGGTGCCTTTCAGTGTGTGTGTGTGTGTGTGTCTGTGTCGTGTGTGTGTGTGTGTGTGAGTGAAGTATCTTTAAAGATGTACACCCACACCCAACAAGTCACTTATGAGGCAAACTGAGTCTCCCCTGGGCTTCCCCAGCTGTTAATCTTTGTAGGAGAAGACAATCCACCTTTCTCCCATGGAGAGTGTCTGGGAGACTCCAAGCGCCAACCTTTTGGTTAGCAGCCCCTCATGTTATATAAGGGAACTCTGGTAGCCTGGTAGTAAGGAGCTGCACTGCAATTCCAAAGGTACGCAGTTCAATTTCACCAGCCGCTTCACGGGAGAAAGACGGGCAATCTCCTCTTGTGTGATTAAACGGCCTCTGAAAATCCACTGGAGACACAGCTGTGGGTCAGTTCCGACTATACACCAAGGTTATTATTGTTGTTAGGTGCCGTGGACTCACAGCGACCCCATCAACCAGCGGATCTGGACCCTGTGCTAGCCTGTACTGTCCTCACAATCTCTCATGAGCACAAACTCACTGTATCAATCTGTCTTCTGGAGAACCTTCTTCTCTCTTGATGACCCTCCTTCACTTTTCCCAGTGTGATATCTCTTTCTAAGAACTGGACCCTCCTGGCGGCGTGCACATCACATGTGAGCCACAGTTTTCCCATCCTTGCATCTAAGGAGCACCGTGGTTACACTACCTCCAGGATGGACTGATTTGTTTTGGTTGTCAATGGAATAGACTCACTACTCTGCCAACTTTACAACTCAAAGGCACTGATTCTTCTCTTGTCAGCCTTATTCGTTGTCCAACTTTCAGACATATATAATTTAAAAGACCGTGCATCTTAATCTTTAGACAAGCTTAACGGAGCTCACTGGATCTAGCTGTATGTCTGTGTGTGTCTGGTGATTGAAGACTCCCATGCAGGCACAGTGTCCAAATGGATCTTCTGACACACTGTGC